ATTTTCTCATTGATTCAGCACCTCTTGGTTGAAAATTTTTGTGGTGGCCAAGGCTACCGAGCCTATCTTACGTGCCACCATTTGACTGGTCCTTTTCTTTGTGGTTTTACAATTTTTTTTGGCACACAAAAATCATGGATATAGTTTTTATCCACCGGCAACGTAGTGAATTTTTTTCATACTAACGGTACGGAGTGCTCAAAAAAGGAAAAATATCTACAAAAGAGAAGAACAATAACTAGAAAATATTTTCAATAATTAAATAGTAATAATACTTTTGCCTCTCTAGCAAACTTTCACCTGCAATGGATTTTCACCTTTTTTTTTTTGGTTACTCATTTTGCTCTTCCACTCGATGCTTTCCTTCTTCTCAAACAAAATAAATGACTATTTAATGTAGTTACGTAGTAAAAAAGAACATATATCAATGCTTCTTGATACATTAAATCACGAAATATGTAATTATAATAGCTTAATTTATATGCATGATCCTTGATGCATCTTAATACTTCTAGATTTTCAAGCAATCATTAGCAATATTCTCATCTATGAAATAAATGCATTGTTGTGATAACTTTCTCATCAACTACGATGGTTATAAAAGGTTAGGATTCACAATCTAGAATGAAGTCAAAACACTTTTAACAAACATGATGAACCATCCCATATTCAAATGTTGTGTCTTCAGCTTGTTTGGATTGTATTTTTCTAAATTTTTTATATAAAAAAATTATTGTACCGATTTGATTTGATATATGTGCAGTAAACGATAATCAAAAAATATGTTCAATTTTTCTTTAAAAAGTTGCTGTCCAAACTAGCACTTTATCTTGTTCATGCCACAGCTAGTCTTGAAGGCTATACTGTGCTTATTGAAAATCGCCTTCCTTCAGAGGTCTATTTTTACTAAACAGTTCGTTGTCAATCTAAAGATGATTGATCTTGGATGGATACCGTAATCTTAAAGTAAATGATTATTTCCGATGGGATTTCCGTATGAATCTTTTTCGAACCACTCTATTCTTTTGTCATTTTTATTGGGATAAGAAAGATGCAGTCTTTGATTGATGTCTTTTATTCAAAATTGGCTTCTTATTGTGGAACGAAGTCTGATGGGAACTTGTGCTATTGGATTGTATGAGAAGATGGCTTTTGTTTTGCTGACATGCGTCTGAATGAAATGAAATAGATGGTTATATTAAAGAAGTTGGTCGGTAATGAAGCAAAGCAGATTTATATAGCTGATCATGTTAGAAAAGACACTTGAATTTAAAATCTAGATTTCATTTATGTGTCGCCATTCATATCTAACAGTGATAATGTATACACTGTCAGTATATATAAGATTCACTCATAAATAATTACTCATTATTTCTTCTCTAGCAAACAGACACAGAGAAATCAATTTCGACTTTCTTTCTTCCTCGCATTCACACTTCCTCTCAAACAAATTAAATGATCCATTTAATGTATTTAGTTTAGCTTGCCCTTGTCTTCTTGAGTTTTTCCTTTCATTCTTTTTTATTTTTCTGACGAGTTCTTGAGTTTCACTTCCACACGCATTCCTTAAATTTGGTCCAAAAAAATACAGGAACCATTTTAATGTAGTTACATAGGTGAGGCTAAACTACTTTTTTCCTTCTTCCTGTTTACAAATAAGATAACCTACAAAATTGCTTTACCAATAAAATAAGGTGATGTTGAAGAATCAGACCCGCCCACTTTGCAAAAACCCCTTACCCGCATTGAGATTTAGAACCCAGATTTTAAATTCAAAAATTTTCACATCCAACATAAGAGTAGAGATCAATATAAAAGGATGTTAATGTAAAAAAAAAAAAAAAGGAAGACTCGTAAAGCAGATGCTATTAAATATGGATTCTGTGAATGCATTATTTACGTATTAATCTTGCAACAGTTTTACAGTAGTGTAAAAATAACATTAGGTGCGTCTTTACTGCGGATGACGGTAATAAATAGCCAGGAGACACAATCCTGAGTGAACCCACGAACATGATGAACTTTTCTGCGTTCAAAGCCTTTTTCTTCTTAACTATACTAGCACTTTACTTTGTTCATGTTGTAGCTCTTTTCCCAAAGTATAAGGTTGTTATTGAAAGTCGACTTCCTGCCGATTCGCCCTATTTTTTAAGGCTTCGTTGTCAATCTAAAGACAGTGATCTGGGATATCATGACCTGAAGGTAAATGAAACATTTTCTTGGGAGTTTCGAACGAATTTCTCTCATAGCACCTTGTTCTTCTGTCATTTCTATTGGGATACGATGGATGCAATTTTTGATGTTTTTGATGAAAAGAAATTATACCATCAGTGTAGTGGAACAAACGATGGCAATTTATGCACTTGGTTGGTGAAAGCAGATGGCTTTTATATGGCTTTTCAACGCTATGGTATCATTGTTACTGTCAAAATGGCCGATTGGAAGCAAAAAACTTTGTAATCTTGTGCTTCCATGACAGTGATAAAAATACTTGTTCCTTTGCACTAATTTTCTTCTGCTTCTGTTTGTAGTTTGTACCATTTTCATTCTCCAGTAATTTATTTATCTTTACTGAATGGCCAGATTCAAGCTTTGCTAAATGCTTCAGTAGCATTGAAGTCCAATTTGAGACTAAATGATTATATGGTATATTTAAAAAAAAAAAGAAATAGAAGAAACTGTCACAAAAATCGATTTAGACTCTCTTTCTTACTCCAAACAAATTAAATGATAGTTTAATGTAGTTTGCCCTTATCTTCTTATAGTTTCACTTCCACACGCATTTACAACTCCAACGTTGTAATTAAGTTGTAACAAACATGATGAACAGCTATGTGTTCAAAAGCTTTTTCTTCTTGGTCTATACTTGCGCTTTACCTCGGTCATACCAATGCGACTTTCTAATAGTAGACGCGCATTCGAGTCGAATTGAGTTCAGATAATACTGTACCTGAACTCGAACTCAAATTCAATGCCTGGAGGGGTGCTTAACCTCGAGCTCGATTCAAAAGGTTCCTATTTGAGCTCGAACTTGACTTGAAAAGGTTCGAAATAGTTACGAGCCTAATCGAACTCAAGTATCTGACACCGAACCCGATTAGTAGTTCTAATTTCTTTCTTTAGTAAATTTCATGAACAATGTACCTAAAAGAGTAATTTTGTGATATTAATAATTTAATTAGAAAAATGTAACCACTCGAATAAGCTTGTCAAGTCTTCGAGTACTAAAATTGGGAACTCGAGCTTGATTGTGTATAAATTTCTTAGAAAAAAAATGAAAGATCTGGTTGGCGTTTCCGTATAAATTTCTTTGATAGAACTCTGTTCTTTTGCAATTTTTATTGGATATAAAAGATGTAACGTTTGATTATTTCAATGAAAAAACAAAGCATATCATTATTGTAGTGTAAGAAATGATGGTGATATTAACACCCGATACTTTACACTAATTTTTCATGTGATTTTGTTTGTGGTGTGTGCCATTTTCATTCTCTAGTAATTTAGTGCACTCTTTATTAACTTACTGAAAGCCAGATTCAAGTTACACAAGTCCATAGAGTTTAGGATAACTTGATAATTCTGTTTCTTTTCTTTTTAACAAGTTAGGAACTTGTTTCCAGAAATCATTAATTAGTGATTTCTTGCATCAATTGTAATTTTCTGCCAACTACAGAGTCGGCAAATTATTGACAAAATTTGATAAAATTATTAGAGCTCCAACTGTATTAAGAAAAATCCAAAATTTTGACAGTCAACAAAATCAACTGTATTAAGAGCCCGCCATGGGTAGCTCAGCCAGGACTGGTAAGTCCGTTTTTACGGTAAGATCTCGTGTTCGACCCGCTGTGGTAAAATTGCTGGCATCATTGGGCAGGACTCTGCTGGCCTTAGGGGGGTTAGTTTGGCCAAAAAAAAGGTTGGGACACCCCCTAATTGAGAAAAAAAAAAAACATGTAACTCCCATACACAGACACGTGTGTGTTTAAGTATAGATTAAATGAATACATATAATTAAGACACCATTAAATGTTGTCCTCGTTGAGAACCCGATTGAAGCCAAATATTTTAGCAAACATGATGAACAATTCTATGTTCAAAACTTTCCTCTTCTTGGACATACTCACTTTACTTAAACTAAAACAAAATCATAATTAACTTGGATACTATCGTTAATTAACTTGGATAATTAAACTAAAACAAAATCATAATCATCTCTGCAAACTCTATCCACCAGGGTTGGTGTTTATTGGTTACTGTCGTTTACAGATAAAACAAAAGAGGTTGGTAGATACAAAGAAACCAAAATGACAAATGGATATTAACTTGGATACAAATTTTACCGAGGGTATTGACTGCATTCGATGTATTTGTGTGAATTTATTATCGGTATACAAAACTAATTGGCATAATTGAGGAATTTAAATATATGTGAGGCCAAATTTGGTGCATGAATTATCCAAATGAATGAGACTAATTGGTATGCAGCATGAATTTTTTTTTTTTCAAATTATAGGCATTTGAACCTAAGTACGATAAGAATTTGGATTAATTTTATATATATTGTTCGTATATACATTATTACCGTACATGACAAATGTTCAAAACTTAAATTTGAAATTTAAATTTTGCTCATATGTCATTCATCCAACCATCATAATAATGTATGTACTGTTAATATATATAAAATTTATTTTAAAACATGAGAATGTATATACTGTTAGTGTATATAAGATTTACTTTAAGAATTTACATAATAGTAATTTGATTAAAGCTGTGTAAGCGTGTATCTCTCTCTTTGTATATATGTGTATATATAAATAGACCGATCCACTAATATATAATTTCTATGTAGGTTTTTCGATTGTAACTAATTTTTTTAAAAAATTTATTATATTAATATTAATAATAATATTATTATTATTGTTCATTGGGCTCAAGCATAGAAGAACTAAACAGAACGTTGTCGTTTTTTGAAGTCAATTGGATTAAGTAAAAATAAATAAACTCCGGCCGCCACTTCCTCCGTCACTCGACCTATAGTCCTCCCGCCTCTCTGGGAAGGCGTCGGCGACGATGAAGTTCCGGTACGCCATGGTATGCTCGTCGAATCAGAACCGGAGCATGGAGGCTCACTCGCTCTTCAAGAGAGAGGGCTTCGACGTCTCCTCTTACGGAACTGGTCAACACGTTAAGCTCCCCGGTCCTTCCCTCAGAGAACCCAATGTCTACGACTTCGGCACCCCTTACAAACACATGTTTGATGATCTCCGACGCAAAGACCCCGAATTGTCCGTATCTCTCCTGTTCCTTTTTTTAATTACTCCCCCCCACCTTTTAGCTGTAAATATATATATATATTTATATATTGTATTTTCCCCACCTATACAGCTCATTTTTCCGATAATTCGTTCTAATTGAGCTTAGTGATGCTAAGCTTTAGTTGTTTGATGTTTGCCAATTTATTCTGTATTACCAGAAAGAAAAGTAAAAATAAAAATTAATTAATTTGGTTTTATCAGGAGCCAGGGCTTTAATTTTTACTGTCTCCTACAATTGGGGTAGGTATAGGGCTTTAATTAGAGTGGAGTGGTCGTCTTTACATGAATTTATGGTGTTAGTGTGTACTTTGCTAGCATGAATTTGTGTGTTCTATGAGGTAATTGTGGCTGATAATTGTCGAGGCCGTTGGTACATTATGATTTTTGTTGCTTTATTTATTTAAGTAGGGAAGTCTGTTGAACATTTTAGAAAATTGGTTATGCTATCTCTTGGGTTTTTTGTTGGCTTTTTTTGGATAAATGAGTGATGGAATTTTTAGTCTTGACTCTTGAGCCACAGTTTTTATGGGTTTGTTAAATTGACTTTAATTGGGTAATGTGAACGTTCTATATAATTTTGAATCGAATGTTGAGGACTAATGGATGTTTTCCAGGTATAAGCGAAATGGGATATTGCCAATGCTTAAGAGGAACTTGGCTGTAAAATCAGCGCCTCAGAGATGGCAAGAGAATGCAGCTGATGGCTCCTTTGATGTAGTGCTTACGTTTGAGGAAAAAGTTTTTGACATGGTTATTGAAGGTTGGTTTGCTTAATATTATGAGAGTCCCTTACATGTAACATAATATGTTAATCTGTTGTTAAATCTATTAAGTTTTTGAAATTGATTGATCTGTGGAATTACTGCCCTGTTATCTAGGATGGTAAGTATTTAAATGTGTTGAAGAATCTTGATACCTAGCAAAGTTCAATGAAATAACAATTTGGTTGGCTGCTTATAGCTGGATTGGAAGCACACGAGTTTTGACTTGTGGTCTAAACTGCATTAAATAACAAGTACTTAACAGACAAAATTGGTACAATAATCCCCAGAAAGCATATACCTTTGATAATTTGACATTTAGGAGTTGTTCTAGATATGTTTAGCTTTTTGGTTACATTGTCATACTTATTCTGCCATTATATGGGAGTTGTTTGAATGTACCATAAGGCGCTTGCATAGAACTTTGTTTCATCATTGCTAAACTTTGCATTTGTTTGCTGATTTGCTTCTTATTTCCTAGTGTTTTTCTTTCATTATATTTCAGATCTTCACAACCGAAATCATGTTCTCATGAAGCCTGTGTTGGTAATCAACTTGGAGGTAAAAGACAATCATGAGGAAGCAGCCATTGGAGCAAGGCTTGCTTTGCTTTTGTGCCAGGAAGTAAGCTTCTGTTCTACTCGTCTGGTACTTCTGATTATATATTCATTTTTTCTTTATTTCCATGTCAGTTCTGGGAACTGTTGATTTTTTGTATTTGTGGCCCATTCTGTCAGTCTCTTGCAACTCACATGTTAAGCTATTGCATTCTTTTTACCCTTTTTCCCTGTAATGTTGTCCAAAACTAACTGTTTTTCCCTGAGCTGCATGTGCATATGAGTTGCTCTTTAGGAAACATGAAGCTATGGCCATATCACTTTCCTTTTCGACACTGCATGGGTGAGAATCCATTGAGTGTGACGCCATGTTAGAACAAAAAATGTGCATTTGCAGGAGATTTGAAGTTATTGCCAAAAAGGGTCATAACTTGTTTGGATTGCAATTTAGGAATGGATTCATGTCTTCTTTATTTGCGATTTAATCATTCCAATGTGTGGCAAAAGAGTATTTTGATGGTGACCTTTTTGAAGTTTTTAGGAGTCTTTTGGGCTTTCTGTGCATGTAATTTTGGTGTCTTATTTTTCATGTTCGTATTTTTGATGCTCTTGTGTAAAACTCGTAGCTGTTAATCCCAGATGAAGCTCCAAATACATGCAATAGCATGGAAAAGCGGGTTGTTTGTTCATGCTATGTCTATATGATTCCCAATTATGCATCACTCGTTTCATTGAACTTTCGCTTCCTTTTTATATGTGCTTCTCTGTGCAGCTTGAATCTTTTGAGGCTTGGGAGGAATCAATCAATATGTGCTTGCTCATGCTATAGTTATATGAAATCCCGATCATGCATTACTCTTTCAGGTCCCACTGAATTGTTGTATACTACTTCTCTGTGCAGCTTGAATCCACTGAGGCTTGGGAGGAATCAATTGATGATCTTATCACTAACTTTGAGAGACAACATCGAAGGAAGCTTTTATACAGTGTTTCCTATTATTAATTTTGACCCCTAATTATTGGAGGAGGAATTTTTTTGTAGATTGACCTGAAGTTGAAATTTGTTGATATGCCAATGATTGATGGCCTTACTCAAGAGTTGTTTTGGTTGTCATAGCTCTGGATACAATAGGAAGCTCCCCTTTCTCCACTCCCCACTCTTGTCTCTTTGGATTCTTATCTGCTACTTATGGCGTTGTACCATTTTAAGTGTACTTGTTTTTTTCCATCTATTTGCTTTCTTCCAAAAGCGAGGTTCAGTATTCGGTTGCCCATTGTAAGTTGTGACTAACTAATTTCTTGATTGAATACATAGGGGGTGTTGCAAGTTGCATCCGGATATAAAATTTCTTACCTTTTATTAATAGCCAAAAAAAAAACTAATATGTACAATTGACCTCCAATTTCGGGTAGCCTTTGAAAATGGTTCGACAAAATAGTCAAATTATATGTAATACAAGAGCAATTAAGTACTTAAAAAAAAAAACTGGCTGTGGCTGAGTTTTTTTTATAATAGAATGTAGGTGTTTTTGCTTGGCATGCTTGCACAGACAAAATTCGCAAATACAATAACCTGATATAATAATTGTACAGAAAATATATCAAAAATAATTTAAAAAAAATGTGTTTTTGGTGCACGAAACATATCTATCCAGAAAAAATATATAAAATAAAATAAAATGTAGTTGCTCCATTCCATATACTTGCAAATTGCGACACCCGAAATCGCTGTAGGCAAAGTCGCTGCCCGATGAGCACGACTCTTTGGTGTCAGCTGATTTAAGAGCCTCACTTCCAGTTTAGTTGCGCGTTGATTCAAATCTCCGGAAATGGGCGAAGACGAAGCCATTGCCAAGTTTTCTGAGGATCAAAACGACGACGGAGTGAGCGAATCGAAGGCCGTTCCAGTAGAAGATAAAGAAAGCATAAACGACAAAAATGTGGAGAAGTTTCTGGATTCCATGGATGACTACTTAATCCTCGTCGATTCCTTGTCCTCCATTCTTCGCCAGGTAAAACATCAGCTTCACTAATTTTATTTTTGCGAAAATGTAAATTGTGATTATAGTCGATAAGTTCACAAGATATCAGTGGATAAGCCGCTGAATAATCGCCGTTCCTTCTGAGAGCAAAATTTTAGCAGGATTAAGACGGTAATTTTATTTTAGGAGATCGATGCATTGAAGCAATCTTTAATTTGGTAATTTGAATTTGATATTTAGTCATGTAAGAATAATTTGGTGATTTGACTTTAGATAATCACTTCGAATAGTAGCTTCTGAAGTTTGAAATTTTTTTTTTAATCTTTTTTTGGGGGTAAAATTGAGTTTGAAGGATGGTTTTTCCTAAAGAACAATTAAATGTAAAAGATAAAAGGATTGCCTAGGAAGATAATTAATTAGGTGAGCTGCTTCTTTCTACATTTTGGGCCCAAAAGAAAAAAGGTTGTTATTCTCTCACAGGGATGGTTAGAATTGGCGAGTGCTCGGCATTCCATGGGAGCGTCACGCATAAGTGCGTCTTCCTATGACATGAAGTACCATTCAGCTGCTACTACATTGCAACTGCAGCATGAAACTGGTATGTTGATGCTTATTAATTATTTTAGTATAGTTGATTTTTTTTTTTCTCTTTTGTAGGGCACAAAAGTAGCAGGAGTTTTTGGTTGGTGATTCTAATGCTGAAATTGCTCAACTAAGATTTTTACGTCATTTTCTTGCTTATATTAGACAGAATTTTGAATGGGAATCTGACTTGATTCAGCTTTAATTTTTGTTGTTGCTAGCTAGCTCTGATGTAGGGCAACCGCATTTTGTGTTGCGCAAATGGGAATCCTCGGATAGTCCTAAAAAAGATCCTTCGGATAGTCCAAAAAGAGATCCTTGCGAAGCAAAACTTGAGGAGGATAAATGGGTACAGAGTGTATCTAGTGGTCTAAGGATCAGGACCAAGGGAACATCTGAAAGTTCTGGTAAATGCTTTTCTGTGTAAGGAGATATAATTGACAATACAACTCATACATTTGAGTAAAATCATTGTTCAGAAGTCATTTCTAATTTCTGCAATGATTGTCTTTTAACCAAGTAGAATTGTCTTTTAACCAAGTAGATTTGTCTGTAAAAGTTATCTAAGGCGTTTTAGACAGTGTGTGTCCTTATTTTTCTTTTTGTAGTCAGCATTATAAACATATACTGAGACTCTGCTTTTTTTTCATTTTTTCCTTCTTGTCTGGGTCCAAAGAGAGTAGGGAGAAAAAGGCGGAAAATACTGGATCTCCACTTTCTGTTGATGGCCATGTAAGTGTCTATATTACTACTAATCCCTTGTATTGAGTAATGTGAGTTCACAGGTACAGGTGTATTGTAGCTCTAGTCTTATGGTGACAAATTTTCTTTTAAAGAAGATATTTACTTCTTTTCTGTGTACTAGTTTCTTCATGGTAGTGCTATGTTAACACTATTACGGGCTTAATTCAGATCCCTTGACAAAATTTTTAAGTTCATGGAAACTTTTGTGTGTGTAGAAGATCTTTTGCTTATAGAATCATCCATCATTCTCATTTCTTCTCTTTCAGGCTCAAAAAGAACGACTCAAGGCACTCTCAATGTTTGGAGCATTGGCTCCTCCTAAACTTCGAGCTGCCCAACTTTCATTTGAGACAGGTAGGGGGAGGAAAATATATAACAGGAAGCTACAATAAGACAAAAAGGAAATGATGCTCTTATTTCTTTATGCAATGCTTTTTGTTATTTTAAGTTATGTATATGAGCTTTGTTTACATCTGGGAATACTTTGCCTTTGTTTCTTTCAGTAGTCTGTGACCTATGTGGACTTGCCTCAAACACCTGTAGCCCTTGGGTAAAATTTTTCACTTTTTTGGAAACCAAGGGCAGTGAAGGAGCTGTTTCTGATTAATGCTCGACTCTTGGACTTTGGATTAAAAAAAGTCCTTAGTATGACAGTGTCTACTCATTTAACTTGATCCATTATGAAGTGCTTGTGCTGTATTAGTTGAAGATATGGTTTTGAAAATTTTCTCTTCTAATCACTAATGGACACCTTGCATCTTTCTTGTGCTATGCTATCTTGAAAAAATGTGAAACCAAGACCCTCTTTGTCCAGGTGATAGATATTCAACTCACTGCTAGTTCATGGACACTTTTCCACCAAGTGTCCCTTCTCCTATTCCCTTTGCATTCGATTTCATATTTATGTCCTTTTCATATATGTGCAGCCCTGGAAACACTTGCAGATATAGCAAATGTGCGAGCGTCATTGCTACGTGCTTATGAACAAGTGCAAAAAGAGATGGAGAGCCCCATACAGTGATGAAAAGTTAGTTCACAACCAATGTAGCCTTGTGTTCCTCAAATACATGTTTGTGACTGGAAAAAGATTGTTTTGTAGTTAATTGATTAGTATATGGATTTTCTTCGGTAAAAGAAACAAGTATAGGGCTCAATTGCTTCTTAAATGGTCTTTTCCTGCAGGAAGTGATGACAGCTTTTGATGTGTTGTAATCTTGATGGTAAACCACTATTGTATGCTGTATCCATTTTCCATTTTAAATGGGAAATTAATACTGCAAATGGATTGTGTACATCCTTTTGTTACCATCAAAGTATTAAATTAATGAGAGAATGCTTCAAGGTTGTTTGATGAGCATACAAGATTAGATATTGACTTTATTTCATATTGTTGTTAGTTCAGAATATTTTGCACCCGCTGTTTTCTCTTTGCAGTGAACTGCTTGCTTATTCTGAACAATATATTGTTTATGAATTGTGGCTTTAGGATAATTTGTTGCACAAAACTAACGGTGGTTCTGGAGTTGGCAAGTGGACTCCGACAACCACGTATGTCAGAAGGCTTTCTAAGTCGAGACGATGCTATCTAGTTCAGAAATGACGAGAGATCCATAAGAGAGAACTCTAGCCATCAACATATGTCCTGAAAGCATCTAATCCAAGATCAGTTACTGTAAGTTAGTGAAGGATCTTAAGCATGTTCGCTAGAAAGTTTCACTAGTGAAATTTAAAGCTTTGTCGTCCATGCCAGAGTTGGAGATTATACAAGCAAAGAGGGTAAGCAGTCATAGAGGAGGACTCTTTGGCCCTGGCTCTGGCTCTTGCTCATACATAAGAAATGGTTCGTACCTCATCCCAGTGCTGTTGTAGTCCGAAAAACTAAAAGATAGTAATGTAGGCAAATGACATCAAGATGAGGGTATTGCAAGAAAAGTATCTAAAGCTATTTGAGAGACGAGGGAAGCCTATCCCTTCCAGCAAGGAATTATAAGGAACATTAATTAAGACTTGGAAGGGGTGATAGGTAAGGCCCGTGAGGCAATGCGCTGGAGAGAGAGAGAGAGTATCTCAACTACGAATAGCAAAACAAACTCGTGAAGTGAAGACTCCCAATATCCGCCTCTCACTTGCAAAACTTTTTTTTTTTTTTTTTTTTCATCCTTCTTCCTTCTACTACGCGAGTTTTGTTGGGAAATAGAAATAATTTAGGTAACATAAAAATAAGGTGAGCAATAGTGGGCCAAACAGGTTTTAAATCCCACGCCTCTCATGCTTTTTGAAAAAAAAAAAAAGGTTAAGCAATAGTGGATATTGTTGTCAAGAGCCAAACTCACAAAATGATCTCTATTCCTTTAACATAAATTTTAGAATAAATATAAACACGGGATCTTCTACCGTGTGCTGTACCACATTTGTGGCGTATCTCATGAGTTTTTTTTTTTTTTTTTTTCCCTTTTTCACATTCTTGTTTCAACAATAATGTGATTTACCACAATCACAACCACGTGTGTACAATTTCCCATGTAAGTACTTCGAAAAAAATTTATAGACAATTTTAACAATTTGATATTTAAAAAATAAAAATGATTATGAAAGATCAGGGTTGAAAACTACCATTATTTGTCAGATATCCTAAGAGCACCTCCAATGGCGACAACGGTTAAAATTTCATGGTGCAAGTTAACGTTCAATTTTTTTTTAAGGTTCAATTTTTGGTTCTCTTTATATAAATACACAAGCAATCCTTCTTCTTTTTTTTTTTTCCCATATCTCACTATCCTACTCTATTATTTCTCGTACTCCCTCACTCATTTTCCTCAACCTCACAATTTTCTAAAATTTCAATATTTTGTGATTATGGATGAGAATTTTAATAGTTTTAGAAATATGTCAAATGCTCCAAATATAGAAAATTCATCCTCCTCACAAAATCAAAACCACCCAAATTTCCCAAA